GAATAAATTTGCTGCGTTTTGACCTTAACTTACGTAGACCTCCAGACTCCGCTTTACTTTTTTCTTTCACTTCCATGCACTCTCTCTCTCAGGCTGAAGGAGACATCTATGTTGGTGGTCTCAGGGACTCCAGCAGGTCGGTAGCCCCCTGGCAGATGTGCCAGACCCCAACAGATCCACCTGCTTAGGCCTTCCAAAGTGCTGGGATTACAGGTGTGAGACACCATGCCTGGCCCCAATTTTTAGGACTCAATTTTTATACTTGGGCTGAGATGATGTCAATCACGAATTTTCTGTTTACTGGGGAAGAGAGGGAATAATTAGAAGGGCAGCTGTGACCATTTGGGAGAGACATCATCCTCCCAGGCTAGGAGTCTTGCCAGCTGAGCAGACATTCCCAAATGCAAATCCCAGATGGGATAAGGATAACCTTAAGGATGGGGTCCAATTGCAGGACCTAAGGGAGCTAATTAGAGGGATTAAAAAGTCCATTCCGCCAGGCGCGGTGGCTCATGCCTGTAATCTGAGCACTTTGGGAGGCCGAGGCGGGTGGATCATGAGGTCAAGAGATCGAGACCATCCTGGTCAACATGGTGAAACCCCGTCTCTACTAAAAATAGAAAAAATTAGCTGGGCATGATGGCGCCTGCCTGTAATCCCAGCTACTCAGGAGGCTGAGGCAGGAGAATTGCCTGAACCCAGGAGGTGGAGGTTGCGGTGAGCCGAGATCGCGCCATTTTACTCCAGCCTGGGTAACAAGAGCGAAATTCTGTCTCAAAAAACAAACAAACAAAATAACTTCCTCATGGGAAAACAGTTCATGATTTCTATCTTCAGCGTTCTTCAAAGGACTAAAAGCAAAAAGCGACGACAGATTCGTTCGAGAAGTCCTAGTCGTGGGCCCTGGTGAGTGCCATACCCTGCTCCTCGAGAGAAGACCCACCAGCCACCCTCACCACATCCCTGCCCTGGTGGAGCCCGAGATCTGAGCGCAGGATTCGAGAAGGCGGCGCAAAAAATGGGAAGAGCCATCCCGGGAGCCCAGCAGGCGTTCAGCTTCGCTTTGGCCACCAGGCGGCTCGGGCAGGTTCCCGATGGGGGTGTTTCCCGGACTTCTGAAGCAAGCCAGGGCCAGGGTGGGTGAAGGCCATTCGACTGTCCTGGCTCCAGAATCTCCTAACACACGGGTGTTCAGCGTGACCAGAGCGACTGACTGGTCTCTAATCTCTCTGGTTTTCCAAGGCCTCCTCAGTCCTCCTGAGGACAGCAGGGCTGGGGGCAGTTTGGTGAGTGTGCCGCGCCTACAGCAACCTGTAGAACAAGTAGTCATAGTGTCTGTGGCGCAATCGGTTAGTGTGTTCGGCTGTTAACTGAAAGGTTGGTGGTTCGATTCCCACCCAGGGATGCCTCGTGTTGTGTTTTAACCCGTTTCAATCAACATGGTTAACCTGTTTCCTGAATATACAATCAACCAGGTTAATCATGGGACATTAGTCCTGAGACACACATGTCCTTTTCCCGACCTCCTTACGTCTGAGGCTGTGAGAAGGACCAAGTGCACCTTATACATGTCAAACTGAGGAATCCCAGAGACTGTAGACAGTAATTCACTTCTGTATAAAACCCATCTTTGCTGCCATGGCAGGCTTGGGTGAGTGAGGTGCCGTAAGTTTTTGATTTATAATAACAGGATACCTGTTACAGTAGCATCCTATCCCCACGATGTGCCTGGGTTTACTGATTGCTCTATCAATAATGTGACCAGTGGAATCGGTCATTTTCATGCTGATCCTCGCCATGGTTGGTGAAAACAGCATTTCTTCCTCAGTTTGTGTAATTTATTTAACCCTTTACAAATGTTTATGAAGGCCAGTCTTGGTGGCTCACACCTGTAATCCCAGCATTTTGAGAGGCTGAGGCAGGCAGATTACCTGAGGTCAGGAGTTTGAGACCAGCCCGGCCAACATGGTGAAACCCTGTCTCTACTAAAAATACAAAAATTAGCCGGGCATGGTGGCAGGCACCTGTAATCCCTGTTACTTGGGAAGCTGAGGCAGGAGAATGGCTTAAACCCAGGAGGCTGAGGTTGCAGTGAGCTGAGATCACACCATTGCACTCCACCCTGGAGGACAAGAGTGCGACTTGCTCTCAAAAATATAAATTTTTTTGAAATGAGGCATGTTTCATGGTGTTAGGATGACAAATGATGCTGCAGTCCCCACCGTTATTGTACACATTTCTTTGGTCACTCGTGCAGGTGTTTCTATAGTGTAGAGAACCGGATGTACCATTTTTACATTACAGTCTTTATTCAATGCTTCTAATGTGAATACCTTCTGCAAACTTATCTTCTGAGGGGGCAGGACCAAATCATACTCCAATTTGTTTCCCAATTCTATCAAGGTCTCTTTTGTCACTTACTTGCTGCCACAGCAAACTTTCTACTCATCGATGTATGATATTCCACTGAGGGGAGAGGCGCCCTCCTGGCTTAACCGAGGGGGTGGACAACAGAAGGACATGGTGGACATCACACACAGATACTCGGCAAAATACGGTGAACTGCTAAGCGTTTAAGATATTTTAAAGTCCTCCAACATCTGTAATTGTTTTCTGTGGTGACCAAGTCACATGGGTCTGGAGAAGATGGGCCACACTGACCTCTTTGAAAGCTGTCTGTCAAGTCACTTATCCAAGGGGAGAAAAATCACAAAGGTCCCAGGGGATATTTTTCTTCTCCCTTTTCCTCTTCATAATCTTGATTTTGCTTTTATTTGACAAAACCAAACTCACGCTCATTCTCCCTCCTAAAAATGGTAAATTAGCATGGAAATTATTATTCTTTGATAGATTTTGCAGGGGCCATATCCATAACAATTAGCCCATCTGAGATGCATTGTGGGAGCCGAGAGAACCCTGCACCCAGCAGGCACCTAGTGCAGACCTGGACCCTTGGAGCTATTGGCTCATGTTCCTTCAGTTCTTCTGTTGAATATCATGATAGAAATTAAGCTCTTTGGCTTTTACCCACTACTATGGCTATAGCACAGTCTCTCTCTCTCTGTCATTTTTGCATCATGATTTTTTCCATCAGTGGCATCAGTGAGGTTTCTGGTTTTGATGTTATAGAGTGAACTTCTGGGATCGTTTTATGACTATGTAACAGTCGGTATTCAATTCTTCTGAGGATGAAGGTTTGTGTTTTACCCAGGTTTTCCTTAGAATAAAAATGAGGTTACTAAGAGCATTTTTGGTAGAAGTTTGTTGGATGTATTGTTCATGCAATGTGATGGAGTAAGGGACCACCATAGGGAGGTGGGAATGTGCTTCTCAGAGGTGGAGACTGTTCTTGATGTCAGAAGGATGAGGGTTGGAAGAACCTTCAGGCACAGAGCAAACCACGAGCAACAGCTCTGTGGAGGCCAAGAACCTGGAAAATAGGGAATAAAAGAGGCCAGTTTGGCTGGAGCAGAGAGTGCAGGATGGAATTGGTCTGAGCAGTGAGAAGAGATGGAGAGGTGGGCAAGGCGCCTGGACATTCAGGGCTTGGTTAGTCAGGAAGTTTTGTCTAGGAAAATGGGAAGGTGTTTAAGTGGTTTAGGCTGGGAAGTGACAGGGTCACATTATGTTATGAAAAAGCGACTCTGCCTGTTGTGTTGAGATTAGAGAGGTGATAAGGGGGATACGTGTAAACCACAAGAAGACCAGGCCAGGAGTTTCTCCACCCTCACTCCCCAGGTGAAGGTAGCCTAGACTAGTGTGGTGATGGAGGAGACAGAGGAGGACAGACTCAAGGACAATTTGCACGGCAGAAACCAGTAGGATTCGCTGATGGATGGAATACAGGAGGGGAGAGGTAGGGCTATAGCTTAGTTTTCTTATACAAGATGGATTCAGTTGCAATGACATTGTTAATTGAAACTGACTTTAAATAATGACACGACCTACTTAGGCAAACATTTGCCTCAGATAAAATGTCAACTTTATTACAGTTTTTAGCTGGATGGACAGCACGGCTCTACTTCCTATCTCTTGGTGTCTCTTAATGTTGTTAACAAAAGGTTTTTCTCTTCTGAAAGGCTTATTTCAGTGGAAGTCCATCTGCAAAACCTGTTCTAAATTTAAGTTAGAAAATAACTACGAGTGCCATTGACACGCTCATTATTGTTTTTGAGAGTGCCCTAAGGCCGCCTCGGGGGGATCTGGGGACTGCCTTGTGAAGCCTGCGCGTCTGCACCGGGTGCCCTGCCTGGCGGCAGCGCCAAACCTGCAGTCCTAAGAGCGGGTTCGCTCGGGCCCCCAGGGGGTGTGTTTCCTGCCGCTTTAACCTGCTAGGGGCGGTTCCAGTTGCCAGGAAATGAGCGCTTTTCAGGATTCCGGCCCGTGCTTTGAAAGAGAGGCGGAGGGGTGGCGGGATTTCCCGGTTCTTGCCTCACTGGTCCATCCCCCAGCGGCCCCTGACAAGGTTGTGCCCTTGAGGTGAACGGGCCCTTTAAGGCCCGCGCCTGCGCTTTGGGCTCTCAGCCGGGCGACCTGGAGGAGCCCGCGGGCTGCGGGAGGGGCCGGGCGGCGGTTGAGACGGCGGTGCCCGGAGGCGTAGGTGCGGGTCCCCGGGCGCTGGAGTTTCTGAGTGAGCGCGAGGCTTTTGTCAACGGCAGAAGGGCGACCTGCGGAGCCAGGAGCAGGCGGGGGCGCTGCAGGGCGGCGGCCATCTCCACGGGAAGTTAACGTTTCCGGTGAAGTCCGCCCAGCGGTTCCGAGGTGAGGGCGCCAAGCCTGACCCCGGTGAGTCCGGGCCGCGTGGGTGCCCGGCAGGGTCGCGGCGCGTCTGGCGGGGGCCCAGCAAGTGTTGCCGCGCGAGCGGGGCGGGCGCCGGGGCCCGTTTCCTGCGCTCGATTCTTCTCCCGCCGCTGGCGCCCGCCCTCCTCTCGTGGGCGCGGGGTAAGAAACTCGCGGGGTGTCTTCCTGTGGCACCCCAGGGGGTGCAGGGACGGAGCTGCTTCGGGGGCAGGTCCTCGTAAATCCTGTGGAGGGCGCTGACCCTGCGCCCCGGCTTCGAGGTCAGAAATCGGTTCCCTCTGGGGACCTGCGGGGCGAGAGCGCTCTGGCCCCTGAAGTGCGAAGTTGCATCTTTATTGGGGTCCGGGATTCCGCGCCTGGCGCTGTCTCCAGCCTGGTGGCGGGCAAGCCTGGCGTGCCAGGTCCAGGATGCGCTAGAGGAGCGTTTGCAGCCGTCACTGAATCGCCTGAGGACTAGCGGGGCAAGCCTGAAATTAACCGCAGCGTTTGCAGTAGGTTGGATTGTGGTGCTGCTGTTTGTGCTCCAAAGCCTTGCTGTGATTTCCCTGTCTGTCTCTGTGTGTCTGTCTCTGTGTGTCTGTCTGTCTCTGTGTGTCTGTCTGTCTCTGTCTGTCTCTGTGTGTCTGTCTGTCTCTGTGTGTCTGTCTGTCTGTCTGTCTCTGTCTCTCTGTCTGTCTGTCTCTGTGTGTCTGTCTGTCTGTGGGGCCTCTTAGATGATCTCATTTGGCATCCTCTCACCCAGGAGTCAAGCAGGACTTTTGGAATGGTTTCCTCGCTTTCCTGCTGTGTTTTGCTGGTAAAGCTGCTTCCGACGGGAAGTCTTTTCCTGCAGTGCCATCTTTTCTTCGGGTTACAGTGTTGTCCATCCTTTCTTTGCGGAAGGAATGACTCCCAGGGCTGGAGGAAGTTAAAGTGATCTGCTGGTAGTTTTTAATCTCTGTTCTGAGGTGATATGCGTCAGTTGCTTTCTTTTTGTTTTTATATTTTCCTAGTAAAATTTCACCAGTGAACCTGAAGCTTTTTTTTTTTTTTTTTTTTGATTCTAAAATTCTAGCTTTAAGAGTTCTGAGAACTTTGTGTCAAAGAAATCTTCGAAAAGTTCTTGACGTACACAGGAGAAGTTCACAATTTTAAATGTGCAGGTGTTGCGGGCGCAGTGGATCACACCTGTAATCCCAGCATTTTGGGAGGTCAAGATGGTCAGACCACTTGAGCCCAGCAGTTCCAGACCAGCCTGGGCAATGTGGCAAAACCCCATCTCTACTAAAAATACAAAAATTAGCTGTATGTGGTGGTGTGTGCCTGTAGTCCTGGCTACCCGGGAGGCTGATGCGGGAGGATCACTAGAGCCCAAAAGGTTGAGATTGCAGTGAGCCGTGATCATGCCATTGCACTCTGGCCTGGATGGCAGAGGTTGGGCATGGTGGCTCATTCCTGTAATCCCAGCATTTTGGGAGGCTGAGGCAGGTGGATCACCTGAGGTCGGAAGTTTGAGACCAGCCTGGCCAACATGGTGAAACCATGTCTCTTAAAAAAAAAAAAAAAAAAAAAGTACAGGTAATGAATTTTTACTAAGTGAACCACCACAGATCAAGAAATAGAACATTACTAGATTGGGGTTTATATGTAGGAGTGGCATTGTTGGTTTTAGAGGTACATGAATGATAAAACTTTAGTATCAGATATTGTTGAACATTTTCCCGAAGTGGTTGTGCCATTTAGCAGGGACTGTTCCGGTTTCCCCACATCCTTGCTGATGCTTGTCAGTTCAAAATTATTTTGCCATTCAAGTAGAGGTGCAGTAATAGATCAGTGTGGTTTCATTTTGCATTTTCCTGGTATTGCGATTGAGTATTTTTGATCATCATTTATATGTCCTCTTTTGTGAAGTGTCTGCTCAATCTTTGTATCCTGTTTTCATTGATATGCTGTTCTGTTGATTTGTAATACTTTATTCTGGATATGTGTCCTTTCTAGAATATATATGTATGGCATTTCTCTTTTTTCAAACTGTAGCTTGCCTTTTCACTCTTTTAACGGTGTTTTTACATGAATGGAGATTCTCTAGTTGTTTTTTTTCTTTTTGAGACAGGATCTCACTCTGTTGTCCAGGCTGAGTGCAGTGGCAGAATCACAGCTCAGAGCAACCTGGACCTCCCAAGGCTCAGGTGATCCTCCTGCCTGAGCCCCCAAGTAGCTGGGACCTACAGGGGAGCACCATTATGCTCAGCTCTTTTTTGTACTTTTAGTAGAGATGAGGTTTTGCCACGTTGCATAGGCTGGTCTGGAATTCCTCAGCTTAAGTGATACACTTCCTTGGCCTCCCAAAGTATTGAGATTACAGGCGTGAGCCACTGCACCCAGGCTGAGTTTCTTAATTTTAATAAAATTATACTTGATCAATCTTTTCCTTTATAGTGACGCTTTTTGTGTCCTGTTTAAGAAATCAATGCCTAACGTAAGAATACGAACACATCTGTGTTAACCTTATAGCAATTTTATTTTAGTTTATGCATTTATTTTTCAGACAGGGTCTCACTCTGCTGCCCAGCCTGGAGTGTGGTGGCATGATCTCAGCTCACTGCAGCCTCTACCTGCTGGCTCAAGTGATCCTCTCACCTCAGCCTCTTGAGTAGCTGTGACTATAGACATGTGCCACCATTGTCTGGCTAATTTTTGTATTTTATGTAGAGATGAGGATTCAATATGTTTCCCAGGTTGGTCTCAAACTCTTGGGCTCAAATAGTCTGCCTGCCTCAGCCTCCCAGAGTGCTGGGAGGTTTGAGCCACCGCACCTGGTCATGATTCACTTTTTACTACATGGATGTGACTGCTTGATCCAGCACCATGTATTGAAAAGACCATCCTTGCCCTTCTGTACTGTAGGGCACTTTTTTTTCATAAATTGGATGGCTGTATGGTCATCTGATTTATGAAGTTAGTGTGTGTCTGTTTCTGGACCAACCTGGGCAACATAGTGAGATCCCATCTTTACAAAATAAAATAAATAAATGATTTGTAAAAGTGGGTAGAGCAGATGGAGTCATAGGTGATAATTTATAAATGATTGTCAATTTCTTGGCTACATACAGGTGTTGGTAAGTCAGATCTGTTGGACGTTCAGGCAAAATGCATTAAGTGAATTATATGGTGTTCAGAATGATTGCTAGACGTTCATTGTGACTTGAATTAGATGTTATTTGGGCCTCACAGAGCTACAGTTTTGACTTTTATTTATTTGTCTTTTAAAAATGTTTACAATCTTCCTGTCAAGGCAGTAACTCTTTTCTACTTAATTGTCCTTACGTGTCCTTAATTACCAGGAAAACTTTAGGGATCATACCTAAACAAGTGTTAAGCCATTTAAAGGGCTGATGTGATGTGATGTAGACAATAGTATTCTACATAGTAGTTTCAGGACTACATTGATTAAATTGCTTCTTTTTCCTTAAAAATCTTTTTTTCTCTTGAGACAGGGTCTCGCTCTGTCGCCCAGGCTGGAGTGCAGTGGTGTGGTCTGATCATGGCTCACTGTAGCTTTGAGCTCTCAGGCTTAAGCAGTCCTCCCACCTCAGCCTCCTTAGTAGCTGGGACTACAGGCATGCACCACCAGGCCCGGCTCTTTTTTTGTTTTTTGTATACAGTGCCTTCCTTCCTATGGTGCCCAGACTGGTTTCAAACTCCTGGGCTCAAATGATCCTCCCACCTTGGCATCCCAAAGTGTTGGTGTTAAAGTTGTGAGCCGTCACACCTGGCCATTTTAGTTTAATAATTTTTATATATTTCTAGTTTAAAATATTTACTAAAATCTATTATTTATGAATATGCTATTCATTATTGTTATGATTATTTTGCATGTGTTTAATTTCATTTTCAGTATAAGCTCTTGGAAATTGGAAATCTTATCCCTTATTCACTACTGTATTCTCAGTACTTGACCTTGCCTGGTATGAAACAGGATATTGAATGAATATTTGTTAGATGAATGAATGAACATACTGATACCACATCCGACAATTGTCCAAGTATCACAGCTTGCACCGTCTAACAAATCAAATAGCTTGTATAGAGCAGAGCCACAGTCAACCTGCCACAAAAGGAAATGTCAGTGAAAATCCACCTTTGTACGTGTAGCTGCTGAGATTCGGGGGCTTTTGTTACTGCAGCATGAACTAGCAAAGCTCAGTGAGACAGCAGATAGAATATCCATGTATAAATAGACCAGACAGAGCAGGAGATGAGCTCCAAAGATAGTTCAATCAGCATTAACTAACCACACCCACACTCTCCTCCTAACAGAGAGAAAGGATTCCTGTTCACTGAGATCTGCCTCAAATAGTACTTTGTGAAAAGTAAGCACTTTCTCTGGCTACTCAAGCAATCAGTCAGGACTCTTTTTTCCTGCCCCCCAGGGTGGAGTGTGGTGGTGCCATCATAGCTACTGTAACCTCTAACTCAAGGCTCAAGGAATCCTCCTGCCTCAGCCTCCAGAGTAGCTGAGACTACAAGTATGCGCCACCATGCTCGGCTGATTTTTAATTTTTTATTTTCAGAGACAGGGTCTTACTGTGTTGCCCAGGCTGCTCAGGACTGTTGATTACATATGACAGAAACCACTCTAGTCCCGCCCCCTTTCAATCTGCTTCTTTCTCCCTCTTCCCAGTCTCAATAAGTGGCGGTTCCATCCTTAAAGTTGCCCAAGTGCTGAATCTCAATGTTAACCTTGATTTCTGTCTATTATGTCATAGCCAATATGAAGGCAAAGCATGTCCAGACCCAGGCGAAGGTTCCTGCTGACCCAGGCTCTCACCGGCACGTTGTCCTTTACTGTCCTCCTGAGGGTGTCTGGAGCTTCAGTGCTGTGTGCTCTCAGCCTCCATGCTGGAGTACCACCGACTCCCGCTGTCCAGGACTTGCAGTGGACTCTCCGAGGCACTGATGTAGAATCTTCCCCATTCGCGGCACCAAGAGCAGCCTCACATGGTGTGGGCTGACATGAAGAGCTGCCAGATCCAACAGGTAAAAATCATGAGGTCAGAGAGTCCTCTCTCTATTATGACTCAAATGCAAAAAGAAGATGCCATGGACCCTAAACATTGCAGCATGACCAGCATGTGCCACCACGACCTGCAGCGCGTGGTCAGGTGGAAGTTATTTGACTTCAGGAGAGGACAGTGTTCTCTTCAGGCCTTTTCCTCAGTGGCTGGATCTGTGTTCCTCTCCTCTCTCTTCCCCTCTAACCCCCAGTCTCCATCCCCATTTCTCTCTCTCTTTCCACCCTGCTTTCTCCTCTTCAGCTTTCATGGTATTCCCGTCCACCCGCATTTCCCAGGGGGCCCCTGCACCATCCTGGGTGGGGAGATGTGTGTGGATTTAGGTGGTGCCCTCTAGATGTGTCCAGGATGGGGAAACATGGCTCAGCTGCCAGTATAATGGTTCAGAGAGTGGCCACTTTTGAAGGCCTTTCACAGCTCCCATCCTAGAATCGTGTAGGACTTAAAACTGATGGGCCACAGTGGAATTCTTGGTTCCTCAGGACCTTGTAGTGGACACCTTCTTTCACTGAGCATTCACATGGTGGCTATTAGTTGCCAGGCCCTGCTCTGGGCTAGGGGCACCATAATGAGTAAATATCAGGTCACTACCCCATGGAATCCACCACTGCAGGCATCAAGAGGGGAAGAAAGAAAGCAGCGTGGCCTGTTTGTGTCCTTCTCAGGTGGTCACCTGCCAGGTCCTGGGGGAGTGGGAGCCGGTGCAAGGAGAGAAGCCCAGTGGGCAAGGCAAAGGGATGATGTCAGACCCAGGGGCTGAGACCCCCACCTGCAGCCACGCAGCTTCTGGGGTGGACAAGGAGTAGCAGGGAAGGTCATGGCCTGGTATTCTGGGGTCCACTGTCTTATGTCATTCCTGTGGGTGCCAGAATTTTTCCAAACGGAGGACTCAGTGTCACTGGAAACAGGCCAGAGACAGAATGTGTTTCAGAAAAGGAGGAAGGAATTGTACATCATGGTCACAGAATATGATTTTATAGTAGTGCGTGTCTCTCTAATAACTAGTTAGCATGTTCCTGTTAATGGAAAATATTGGTGGTGTAAGTCCCTCTGGATCTTCTCATCATTGTGTAAGTTCATTTGTTCCCCCCTCCCTCCCCTCTTTCCTCCCTCCCCTCCTTCCTTTCTCCCCTTCTTCCTTCCTTCCTTCTTTCCTTCCTGCCTCCCTCCCTTCCTTCCTTCCTTCCTTCCTTCTTTCCTTTCATGCCTGTTTCTTTTCTTTCTTTCCTTCCTTCCTTCCTCCCTCCCTCCCTGCCTTCCATCCTTCTCTTTTCTTTTTCTTTCTCTCTCTTTCTTTCTTTTAAACTTTTTGAATAGACCACACTGTACTGAAACCCACATTATTTACCAAAATCTCTGGAGCTACTTCTGTCTTTCAGGCAGGGAAGTCATCCCGTATCCCTCAGCCCCTCCCAGCCTCCTTCTCTTTTGATTTGTGGGTGCCCCTGGGGCAGCTGCTGAGTCTCAGGTGTTTGTAGTCTTCATTAAGTTCTGCCCACCTGGATGGTTTGTCCCTGTCCTTACCAGACGCTTGCATTATCTAGATCACTGAGGTTGCTTCCGCCTAACTGATCTGCTCTCTGTATTCCAAGGGCACCCCAGCAATAGAGGCAAAAGGCACAGGCATCGAAATCTCCAGCTGCTCTGACTCTAGGTTGGTGCACTTCTATGCCAAGTACTAAGCACACAAGAACCGGATGCCACCAAAACCTGATTTGGGTCTGCTGCCTCCTAATTTCAAAAAACTTAATAGACATTATTTTTTAGAGCAGTTCTCGGTTTACAGATAAATTGAGTAGATAGTACAGAGAGTTCTCCCAGGGTCCCCTGACTTCCAGCACACAATTTTCCAATTAGTATGTCATATGAGTGTGGTCCATCTGTTACAATTGACCAACCAATATTGATACATCATTAGTAACTAAAGTTCATAGTGGACATTAGAGTTCATTCTTTGAGTTTTCACAGATTGAGTTTTGGCAATTACATAATGTCATGAATCCCCAATACGGCATCATGCAAAATAGTTTCACTGCTGAAGATACCCTGTGCTTCACCATTTCATGCCTCCTCTCCTCCACCCCTGACAACCACTCATCATTTCACTGTTTCTATCTTTTTGACTTTTCAAGAATGTCCTACAGTTGGAATCATAGAGTATATAGGTTTCCCGACTGGCTTCTTGCTCACATGATGGACTTAAACTTCCTCCATGTGTTTGTGGCTTGATGGCTCATTTTAAAAAATCACTGAATTAGATTTCATTGTATGGCTACAGCACAGTGTATTTATTCATTCACTTGGTGAAAGACATCTTGGTTCTTCCAAGTTTTGACACCGATGAATAAAATTGCTCTAAGTACTCACGTGCAGGATTTTGAGTGAACTTCAGTTTTCCCAAGTGACTGTACATTTTGATTTTCACTAGCTATGGAGAGTTCTGGCTGCTCCTCATCTTTGACAGCATTCAGTGTGTTTCCCTTTTTGCATTTTAGCCATTCTAATAGGTTTCCAGTGATAGCTCATTGTTTTAATGTGCAATTCCCCAATGACCAATGATTTTGAGCATTTTCTATATGCCTATGCGCCATCTGTGTATTTTTTTGGTGTGCTCAGATCTTTCACATGTTGTTGTTATTTGTTTGCCTTGTGTTGTTCAGTTCTCAGAATTCTTCATATATTTTGGACAGCAGCATTTTATCAGATTATTTTGTAAATATTTTCTCCCAGTCTTTGACTTGCTTTTTCCATTATCTTCACAGTGTCTTTCACAGGCAGAAGGTTTTCATTTTCCAGAGGCTCAACTTTATATTTTTCATTTGTGGATTGTGCTTTTGAGTGTTGTATCTAAGAAGTCATCCTCGAACCCAAGTTCCCAAGCTCTTCTCCTGTGTGATCTCCTGGGATTCTCATGGTTTTGCACCTTACATTTAGGTGTAAGATTCACTTTATGAAGGGCATAACATGCACACCTAGATTGATTGATTGATTGATTGGTTTTGCATTTGGTTGTCTAGCTGTTCTAGCACCATTGTTTGGAAAGGCTATCCTTGCTGTTTTGAATGTCTTTAAACCTTTATGAAAGATCCGTGGACTGGATGTAGGCCAGTTTCTGGGCTCTGTGTTCTTTTCCATAGATCTTATTTCTGTGTTTTTCCTCTTTTCACCAACTTCACGCTGTTTTGGTTTCTGTAGCTTTCTAGTAAGTTCTGAAGTTGGTAGTATCAACTTGAGGGTTTTTTTTCTGAACTTCATCATGACAACCTGATTGAAAGTGTTGTAGTCAAACTTGGTAATGTGTGAGATTCCCCCTTAGTTTGGTCTTCAAGGAGTTTTTAATGCTCAAGGCAGGCCACCCTCAGCTGCTGGTAATCTGTGAATATCATTTAAGTGCTCCTCCCAGTGGCTGGCCCCAGTAGCTTCTCTTCCTGGTGAGCTGTGACTCTTCATGGGTTAGCCTGTCTCTCAGTTTTAGGGTGGCAGTTTTCCCTGTGACCTCACTTCTCTGGTCCAGCCTAGAAGAGCTGACTTTCAGTTTGTTCAGCTTTTCTCTAGCTGTCAGGATGAGTGATGACTACCTAGCTCTTTCCATGTTGGAGTGGAAACCCAGAAGTTCATTTAAAGAGTTACTTGTAATAAAAGTCACCCATTGTCAGTGTACAGCTTAATCATTTAGGTTGATTTATAGAATTGTGCAGCCATCAGCAGAGTTCTATTTCACTACATTTTTGGCTTCCCCAAATTCCCTTGAGCCTCTTTGTAATCATTTCCTAATCCCTAGTCCCCGTGATCAGATCTGAATAGAATAAATATTTGGATAACCGACTTCATTGTATTTACATTTTCCTGTGTTTGGGACTTTATATAGTGGACTGTTGTCTTCCTTTTCTGACTAATGGAGAAGAGGTTGCATTCTAGGGATGTTTTTGGGGAAACATAACAGTACTCCTGTTTATGGCTCTCTTTGAATTGGTGCATCTTTGCTGTACTATTAGCTCAATTTATCCGAATTATTAGCTCAATTTACCTAGAATTTTTCTAAAAACCAAAGTTCATTAAATTTTATTAAAGTTAGGATGCAACAGCCCCAGATCAAAATTGTGGTGGCATCCTGTTACTATGTGGTTAATACTTGACCTCGGGGCTGCCGTAGCAGTGGATGCTCTTCAGGTCAGTGTGGATTAGAGGGAATAACCATGCTTGGAGAAGGGTTAGAGATGTCCGTTCTTACATTAAACCGTTCTGCCCTAGGTCAGGTGCCAGAGTAAGTGATTCTTGCCAGTATATGAGGCAGTGCTACTTACAGTGGAGAAAGTTCCTCTGCACTTTCAGTTGAGGAGGGTCTCTATGTGATGTATTTACTGGGTGTTTAATTTTCTCTACACTGTATTAAGCACTTGGGGTTCAGATAGTAGTTTCCCCAAGGAACAGAAGCCCATGAGAGAAAGAAAACAAAGACATGATTTCAAGAAAATATAGTAGTTCTCCGAAAGTGGGGTGTCATGGCAGCCTAGAGGATGGGAGTGTAGGTGAAGACATTGCTCCTAAGGACAAGGGGAACCATAAGAGGGATTCTTCAGAGCAGTCCCATTTTTCCTCCAGTGTCCCACAGAAGAAGATCCTGGGGCATGACTGGTGTAGAGCAGGGGTCGACAGGTATAGGAGGGGCACTTGCTGCATCTTGGGAGAAATTATAGCATCCCTGGTAGGACATTTTGGAGAGGAATGTCAGTGATGGGATTGGATGTCTGTAGTCAGTTTTATTCTATCTTCAGTGAGCACTGCTGAGAACTTCCTTAGTGCCAGACCCTAAGCTGGGAATCATGAACACAGAGATGAGTAGAATACGATCTCAGCTTTCACAGAACTCTCAGTCTAGTGACTAGTGAGATATGAGAAGTGTAGTGACTTCATTAGAGCAAGTGGCTCATGCTGCATGGAGATGACCTCAGTGGATGGCCTGGTCCCCCTACTGGTTGTTACCAACAGCTGGATGACTTGCTCTGGGCCAGTGACCCTGGACTTCTGCCAGGTGTCAGCAACTTAGGTACAAGCAACATCTCAGTTTCCTGTTGGGTCAAAACAGTTAACACTGCCAAGGTGATCAGAGGACACTAGTGACATCAGTAGCTACTGATGAGGTCCTGGCCAGCTAGGGAAATAAAGATGTAAGTTTACCAGTGATTCTAAATTTATTCTTAACATAATGAGCAGAGATATCTTCTAAGTTAAATACTTTTTAGACTTCAAGATTCACCCATGTTCAAAATAACATATATATCAGCCATATCACTGCCCTAAGATGATATCTCTCTGTCCTTACCAGAAGCCTGCACTATCTGGAGCACTGCGTCTATCTCAGGCTAACTAATCTGCTCTCTGGATTCCAGGGACACCCACAGAGCCAGTGGTTGAAGGCACGGGCGTTGATGTCTCCAACTGTTCTGACTCCAGCTTGGTTCACCTCAACGCCCAGTATTACCCACACAGTAACAGGATGCCGCCACAATTTTGATTTGGGGCTTTTGCATCCTAACTTTAATAAAATGTAATGGACTTTTTTTTTTAGAATAATTCTAGGTTTACAGATAAATTGAGCTGATAGTACAGGGAATTTCCCTATTCTCTCTGGTCCCCTAGCACACAATTTCCTCTATCATTAGTATCGTGCCTTAGTGTGATACATGTTTACAACTGATTAATCAATATTGATACATTATAATTAACTAAACTCCATAGTTTACATTAGGGTTCATTCTTTGAGTTTTACAGTTCTATGGGGCTTGACAGTTACCATGTCCAGAATCCCCAGTACAGTGTCACACAGAAGAGTTTCACTGCTGAGAACCTCCTTGTGTTCAGCCAATTCACCCTCCTTCACGCTTGGCAGTCACTGATCATTTCACTGTCTCTACCATTTTGACTTTCCTGGAATGTCCTAGTGTTGGAATCATAGTGTGTAGAGTCTTTAGACTAGTTTCTTCCTAGCATTATGTATTTAAAGTTCCTCCATGTCTTCTCATGGCCTGATAGCTCATTGCATTTATCACTGAATCACATTCTCTTGTACAGCTATACCACGGTTCGTTTAGCCATTCACTTAGTGAAGGATGTTTTGGTTACTTTCAGTTTTTAATAAGTATGAGTAAAACTGTTGTAAATACTTGGATGCAAGCTTTTGAGTGAACATGTTTTTACATTACTTTGGTAAGTATCGAAAACTGCTATTTTCGGGATTATATGGTAAGGCTGTGTTTAGCTTTTTTTTTCTTTTAAGAAAAAAATAACGTGCCAAACAGTTTTCCAAAGTGACTAGCATTTTGCATTTCCACTAGCAGTGACTGAGAGTCCCCGTTGCTCTGCATCTTTGCCAGCCTATGGTATTGTCACTTGTTTGGATTTGAGCCTTCCTATTAGGTGTATATTATAGTGTAGTGGCATCTCATTGGTTTAATACGCAATTTCCTAGTGTCACATGATTTCGAGCATCTTTTTTATATGCTTATTTTCCATCCATGTGTCTTTTCTGGTGAAGTATCCAGATCTTTTGCCCATTTCTAAATTGGGTTTTTTGCTTTTTTATTATTGAGTTTTAAGAGTCCTTTATATATTTGGACACCAGCCTTTCATCAGATCTGTATTTTGCCAATTTTTTTCCCAGCAGTGGAATAAGTCCACTTGCTTATTCATTTTCTTAACAGTGTCTTTCACAGAGCAGAAGTTTTTTAATTTTTATGAAGTTCAACTTATCAATTTTTTCTTTCCTGGATTGTGCTTTTGGCATCGTATCTGAGAAGTCATCACCAGACCCAAAGTCGCCCAGATTTTCCCCTATGTGGTCATCCAGGAGTCTTAGAGTTTTGCACCTCACATTCAGGTGTAAGATCCGTTTTGTGGAAGGTGTAAAATCTGTGCCTAGATTTATTTATTTTTCACATGTGGATGTCTAGTCATTCTAGCGTCATTTGTTGAAAAGTCTATCCTTTCCCTGTTAAACTGCCTTTGTGCCTTCCTCAAAGATCAGTTGAGTGTTTGTGTAGGTCTATTCCTGAACTCTGTATTGTTTCCTAGTGACCTGTTTGTGTTTTCTTTCTTCACCAGTTTCCACACTCTTTGGTTACTGTAGCTTTATAATTAGTACTGAAGTCGGCAGTGTCAGTTCTCTGGGGATTTTTTTGATCTTTACTATGAGAACCTGGTTGGGCTCCTGGTGGTAAAACTTAGAAAAGTGTGAGATCCCCACTAAGTCTGGTCCCCAAGGAGTTTTGAATGCTCAAGCCAGGCCACATCAGCTTCTAGTAATCTGTGAGTACCATTTAAATGCTCCTCCCAGTTGCTGGCTTCAGCAGCTTCTGTTCCCTGTATTTGCCTGTCTGTCTGGTTTTCAGCATGGCAATTTGCCCTGTGACCTCTCCGTTAGTCCCTCTAATAAGGATTGATAATTTTTGGTTTGCTCAGATTTCTTCTTGTTGTGAGGATGAGAGGTGACCTCCTACTTCCTTACAAGTTGGAGTAGAAACCAGGAATTTCATTTAACAAGTTACTTGTAATAAAAGTCACTAATTGCAAATGTAGAATTGAGTAATTTAAGTGGACATGTAGAATTTTGCAGGCATCACCTCAGTTCCCTCTTAGAATACATTTCTTCCCTCCCCAGATTCCACAGAGACTCTTTTCATTTTCCAATCCCTGGTCACCACGATGGAGCCTGAACAAAATAAAAATTTGGAAAACAGCATTACATTTAAGCTTTTATTAGATTGGAATTTTATATAATGGATCATTGTCTTACTCTTGTAGCAACTAGAGGAGATTTTTATTCTAAGGACTTCCTTTAGGGGAACTTAGTGCTAGTCCTGCTTATTGCTCTCCTGGAATTGGCTAATCTTGTCTGGTATCAGACAGTTGCTATTAAACCTTGTCTGGTGAGCATGAGTGAAAGACCTAAAAGAAAATCTTCTATTAGAAATGTAGATGACGAATTTCCAGATAATGTTATGCCGAGTTAAGTTTTTGTTTTGTTTTTTTTTTGAGGTGTTTTGCTCTTGTTGCTCAGGCTGGAGTGCAATGGCACGAACTCGGCTCACTGCAACCTCTGCCTCCTGGGTTCAAGCAATTCTCCTGCCTCAGCCTCCTGAGTAGCTTGGATTACAGGCATGCACCACCACACCAAGCTAATTTTGTATTTTTAGTAGAGATGGGGTTTCTCCATGTTGGTCAGGCTGGTCTTGAACTCACAACCTCAGGTGATCTGCCTGCCTTGGCCTCCCAAAGTTTTGAAATTGCAGGCATGAGCCACCATGCTGGAGTGCTATGTGCAATCTCAGCTCACTGCAACTTCTACCTCTAGAGTTCAAGTGATTCTTGTGCCTCTGCCTTTTGAGTTGCTGGGATTACAGGCATGCACCACCATGCCCACCTAATTTTGTATTTTTAGTAGAGACAGAGTTTTTCCATGTTGGTCAGGCTGGTCTTGAGCTCCCAATCTCAGGTGATCCAACCACCTTAGCATCCTAAAGTGCTGGGATTACATGTGTGAGCCACCACACCTGGCTGGGAGTTAAGTATTTTACCATCTTTTCTCTTTCAGAGATTGGGTTGGTAACATTGAAGAGACACTTCTCACCTGCCTGAAATGCCCTACGTTATCTTCAAGTTGCAAGGGCTCTGGAACAGCCCTTGCAGTGCTCCCGTAAAGGTAAGCATCACATTTTACTGTAGTTCTTTGCTTTTTTCTTTTTTGTGCCTATAGGGATTCGCATACATGTATGTGAAAATATAAAAAGAGTACAGTTAGGCAGCTGTAACTAGTTTTCTCTTGCTACCTATTAACACATTATAACAAGTTAGTGGTTTGAAACCACAGAAATCAGGAATGACTGGGTTCTCTGATCGGGGTCTTCGGAGGCTGAAATCCAGTTATGTGCTGCCTGTGTTTTTCATCTAGAGCTCAGGCTATCACTACAGATGTATTGGCAGAATCCTCTTGTGGGTGGAGGACTGTGGTGTTCGCGCCAAGGACTCGAGACAGCTAGTTGACTCGCCCCAGTTTGGCTGCTGGACCTGTACTGCATTTCCCCACCTCGAGGGCTGTCGAGTGAGACAAAGAGCCGTGAGCTGGGTCACTAAAAGCAACAACAGGATGCAAAGCAAAGGCCTGCAGTTTATGAGGACATTGTGCTGTCTGCTTCCATGTCCCCCTTCAGTCTCTGTGTAAGCAATAAACTTGCTGCAATTGAGATGCCTAAGAGGAGCAGAGACCTCTGCCCATATTTTCTCTGGAGCCAAGCCTTTGTTTTAGCTCCTGATGAAAAACAGGTTTAACCAGCCACCTTAAGGGTGCCATTGTATCTTTGAAATGTAAAATCTTTGAAATGTAAACTACTACCACTAGCCCCCTTAAACTGCCTTCTGTGTGGATATCACAAGCCCCTGATAACTATTTTTTGTGGAGTTTCTGTTTCTTTTCTGTCTACCCCTTTCTTTCTTTCTGCTGAGATAAGGTAAATGTAAACAAGAAAAAAGGTATAAAAGCTGTAACCCACAAGAATTAATTTGCTGCGTTTTGGCCATAATCTTCACGCAGCCCTCCAGACTCTACTTTTCTATATTCTTTCTTTTCCGCGCACTCTCTCTCTCAGGTTGAACGAGACATCTACGTTGGCGGTCTCGGGGACTCCCGCAGGTCAGTAGTCCCCCGGCAGACGTGCCGGACCCTGACAGAGGACTGACATCCTTTTGCAGTCCTCCTCCTGGCTCTCAGCCTGAAGACACTCTGACTCCAGAGGCCACCTGCATTCTTTCTTGCTTTCCTTATCTTCCAACCAACAACAGCTCATGGAATTCTTCTCCAGCTCCCATCGTCTCTCTGACTTTGTCTTCTCCTACCCACTAGAGAAATCTGTGACTCTTAGGGAGGGGTGTGATTAGATCCGGCCCACTCAGGAAAGCTCAGGCTTGGTATTAGTCTGTTCTTGCAATGCTATAATGACCTGAGGCTGAGATTTATAAAGAAGATATTTAATTAGGCCATGGTTCTGTGGGCTGGCAGGAGAGAGAGAGAGAGACAGAGAGAGAGAAAGGGGAAGTGCTACATAGTTTTAAGGAGCCAGATCTCATGGAAACTATCACGTGACAGCACCTGGGCGATGGTGCTAAGCCCTTAGAAACCATCCCCATAATCCAGTAACCTCCTGCCAGGCCCCACTCTAACACTCGGGATTATAATTCAACATGGGATTTGGGTGGGGACACAGGACCAAACCGTATCACTCTTTAAAGTCATATGACTGCCATTTAACAACGTAATCACAGGAATGTCTCAGCTTAACAGGTTCCAGAGATACGGGTAGAGGATGTTTGGAGACCATTTTAGAAATTCCACCTATCGCAGTTCAACTTCTGGTCCCCAGACATTCATGTTCCTCACAGATGCAAAATACATTTACCCTCTCACCTGAGGCGTCCAAGTTTCATGTCATTATGCATTAGTGCAAAGTGAAAAATGTCATGTAGCTTTAATCTGATCAAAAGTTTAAAATCTCATTTAAATTATCTACACCAAGTGTGAATGAGGCTTCTGAGGGTGTCCGTTAAGTACAGATTCCTTTTATTCGAGAGTGAGTCTTGGTCTGTCACCCATGCTGGAGTGCAGTGGTGCGATCTTGGCTTACTGCAACTTCTGCCTTTTGGGTTCAAGTGATTCTCCTGACTCAGCCTCTCGAGTAGCTGGGAATACAGTCATGCACCACTGCATTTAGCTAATTTTTTTGTATTATTACTAGAGATGAGTTTTTGCCCTGTTGGCCAGGCTAATCTGAAACTCCTGACCTCAGGGGCTGTCCCCCTCAGCCTCTCAAGGTGCTAGGATTTCAGACATGAGCTACCATGCCCAGCCCAAGTATAGATCCTTGATATAATTCCCTTACCCCTGTTGACCCGTGAAACTGAACAAACAGCTTATCTGTCCTCAGTGTGCAATGGTGGGACAGTCACAGAATAACTCTGCTAGTGATTCTTGTTCAAAAAGAGGGAAAGTGGAGGGAACAAAGTCACTGATCCAAAACCATTTTGACCTGGAGCTGAGCAAAGTCCAGCCAGAAATTCTTCATTAGGCTCCACAGCCTGGAACTAACCCTCTGTGACAGGGGGCTTTGCCTCCGGGCTCTGCATTTTTTCCTATCATTATGGAAGACATTTTATTTTCCATCTCCCCTGCTCTTTTGGTTCTTCCCCTTTCTCCTTGTGGCAGCATCCTCCACTTAATCCTTGTGTCATCCCCAGCAGAATTGGTCAGACATTGCCTGTGTCACGGTCCTGACCATCTCCACGAGGGGCTGTCCTTGTGAGCCCGTGTTCCTCTTCACTGACCTGACCTCTAGCAGTCATGATTGCTTTCAGCTGCTCTGGCTGGCTTAGGAGAAAACCTAAGACTATGGAGTCCCAGAACCAATCTCTGCCCTCTCTACCTCCAAGACAGGAAGAAATAACAGGGATCTTCATGGAGAAATGACTCACAGGAGGGCCTGGACTCTCCAGCAGTTACAGCAGAAGGAAGTTTCTGAAGAAGAATGGAGGAGCTGAGAGCCCAGGCTGGGAAAGCAGGGTTGTGTGAAACACTATTTAATCCTATGTGCTCCCTGCCCCAATCTAGCAGCCAGTGAATGACAACTGACCAAGTATAAAGGCCAGGACTGTAGAACTGTGATAAAGGGTTTGTCCAAGGAAAGGGGCTTTTCCCATTTTTGTTTTCACAATGGAAATTCCTATTTTTCATCTAAAGTTTTCTGAATGGCAGAATCGAGCTGGAGGGTGAGTTACCTGCTCTGTACAGGGTGGCTGAGGCCAAGACTTGTGTGGTGGATCTGCTGCCACGAAGTGGTGAGGGAGGGAGCCTGGGAGAGTCTCAGTGTTTCTGGGCTTCAGTGTTTCCTCATCAGTAAGGTAGAGGCTTATTGTACCTCTCTGAGGTCCCTTCCTGCTCTTTTCTCTGAGCTTCTGAGGAATTGAGATGCTTTTCAGTATTGCCTGGGACCTTCAGCTGAGACCTGACTCTGTGTGTCTCCTGCCGGAGCCTGAGCTGAGTCTACAGGCTGGAATCCCAGAGCTGTGGGAACAGGTGGAAGAAAGAAGGTCAGCAGGTTTAGGGAATGAGAATAATCCACAAAGGAGAAACCATTGGTAAGTGAAAACCAAAGAAGGGGAGAATAAGGACAAAGCAGGACAGAAGCCTGAGGGGAAATGGGCAATGCCTATGATCATTTAAACCCTCAAGGAGCAGCGTGAGCTGAGCAGTGGGGACTGAGAGAAACTCAACAGGAATCTCCTGCCTCTGGCCAGGGAGAGCCACAGGTTAGATCAGAGCTGGTTTATAATGGGCAGCTTGAACTCCAAGAAAGGTTCAGAGGTTTGTAATCAGTTTTATTCAGTCATGGATGAACACTCCCCAGACCCAGGAGCGTCAGGATCGGTGCTGCTGTAGCAGTGGATGCTCTTCAGGTCAGTGTGAGTTAGAGGGAATAACCATGGGTGGAGACGGGTTGGAGATGTCCATTCTTACATCAAACAGCTCTTCCCTAGGCCAGGTGCCAGTGTAAGTGTCCCTTGCTTGTATATGAAGCAGTGATACTAATATTCCTCTGCACGTTCAGTTGAGGGAAGTTTCTCATAAATTGAGTATTTAATTTCCTTTATACTGTTCTAAGCACTTGGGATTCAGGTATTTAATGTCTCTCTGAAGAAACTCAAGCCAGTGAGTGGAAGAACACAAACAGATCATTTCAACAAGATACAGTAGTTCTACCCAACAGAGGTGCTGTGGCAGCCCAGAGTACAGGAGTGTATGTCAAAGGACATTACTCCTAATGACGGGGAGGCATAAGAGAACATTTTCAGGACAGACTAGTCTTCCTTGAAACTTCCACAGGAGAGGATCCTGTGGCAGGGATGGTGTAGGGCAGGCACCTGTCTAGGGAAGGGGATTTACAGCATTCTGAGAAAGAGCATTCCTTACAAGACATTGGGGACAGAAATGTAGGTGAAAGGGTTGGAGGTTTGTAATTTATTTAGTCATGGATGAACACTACTGAGAGGCCCCTCTGCGCTGGGCCCTTAGCTAAGGATCATGACCATAGAGGTAAGTAAAATAGGATCCCAGGTTTCACAGAGTTCTCAGTCCAGCGACTGGTGATTCATGAGAAGTGTAGTGATGGTGGAAGAAGTGGCCCATGCCACATGAGATGACCTCAGTGGATGTCCTGGTCCAGCGACCCTGGACTTCTGCCATATTTCAGCATCTCGACATACAGTACACCAACACCTCAGCTCCACGTTGAGTCAAAGCAGTTAACACAGCCAAGGAATTCAGAGGACACTGATGATATCAGTAGCTATAGACTTTTTAGCTGAGGAAATAAAGTAAATTTAATAACTCTTCTAAAATTGTCCTTGCCACAATGGTAAATAACTTTATCTTGATAATGAATTATATTGTGGTAAGTTAATTATAACTTAACATAATGAGAAGTAACTTTATGAGTACAGCAGACACACAAGCCCTTGAGGACACAAGCCTGAGGATTCTGATGAAGAGATATGTCCAAATATGTGACAGTTGGACCTACAGGCCAGCTTTGAAACAGTGGAAGACCTAGTTTCAAATTTAAGTGTCCTTTGAGTAGAAATTCACTTTACCTCTCTTTGCATGGCAATGGGGCCAATCTTCCCTAAACTACTTCTTACAAGAAAAGGAATCATTCTGGTAAGAATTCAGATTTCAGCAAACATGGGGAAGTAAGAAAGTCTTATAAATCTATTCTAGCCACCTAGCAAGAAACCAGGAATTTAGAAAGTTCATTCACATTCAGGACAGTTGTGTTCAGTAGACCAGAGGCCCTGAGACATGAAGAAGAGACCCCCTAACAAGGGAAAGTGTTTCTTCCTGTCCTAGGACATCACTGCCAACTTCAGGGAAGCGGGAACACAGCTGCTTGCTTTACAGTATGGGCTGCTTTTGTGCCTGGAATGTGTGTGATGTCCTGAGACCTGTACCTATTTCAGGGAGCCTTGGGAGGAGCCTGAATCACTGATGGAATTGGACGGTGCATGGAGATGGTTGAGCCAGATGAGGGTAAGTGCAGGGGCGTGGCCAGGTCATACTGGGAGAACTGAGTGGCACTGATGGAGACAGACAAAGATATACAGACCTTCTCTTGTATATTCCAAAGTTCCAGGGAACTTCCAGGTCTAATTCCATGAAAAACAGAGGTTATTTTCCATGCTGTTAAAGCAAGGTTGCAGACACTTGTGAATTTTGGTCCCAATATACTTGGAGGACACATCTGTGTCCTGGAAAATGATACAGGGATGAATACTCTTTGGTGACTCATTCTGGTCATTTGTCCAGCATCACAGAAACCAGAAAATGGAAATATGGCCAAATTCATGATTTGCTAGCCCTCTTGTTCAGGTTTCTCACCTGATTCTTAGGATAACAGCGTTACCTTGAGGATTCTGATGAAGATATACTGTCCAAATATGTGCACAGTTTTGAGCAAAATGCCTGGTAGAGATTGGTCAACAAATAATTAGTGAATAATTATATGAATATTTGCTGAATGACATGGATCCTATGAATAATTATAGAATAATTGTTGTGATTGCTTTTATTGGCAGTGCTCAAAACTCCTCCCTGTGTGACCTGAAGTAAGCCACATAACTTTGTGAACCTGCAGTTTCATTATTTTGATAGTGAAGAAACCTGACAGATTTTGCTTCTGCCAGAGAATGTCAGGCCTCCCAGACACCAGAACGTGTATATACATAAAGCCTTTGATGTATCTCTAAGCGGTGTGCTCACAGTGTTGCTGGAGGATGATGGGGGCTGTAGAGAGGCACGCTTTGCAATGGGATCGATCCAGTCCTCCTTGCTTCACTTCCACATGAATGCTGGGCAGCCCAGGGTCACACCCATTGTACCCTCGACTCAGCAAGCCCAGGAAGCAGCCAAACATAGGAGACCTGGGCTACAGAACAGTCTCCCAAGTCCCAGGCTCCCAAAACCTGGGTGGCGATGAAAGCTGAGAAAGTGAGGAGGAGGCTCAGGGATCACTCTTCCTACTCGGTCCTGTCATCTCCAATTCCCCTTCTACTGCACAGCAACACGGAGGACCACCAACCACCCCTGACCATCACCTTGCTCTTACCGGGTTTGGTTAGTGGGATGCAACCACACATCAATGGCATTAGACCAACTCAGAAAATGTGTCAAACAGTATTCCATAAGGACCGCTCATGGCCCTGTTATTTTCACTATATGGAAAACATGAAATGAAAACAACAAAATCATACCAGGTTTACCAGACTTCCCAAGATAGATGGTCACATATGCTTTCAGGAGATCTCCATAGAAATGATTTTGATGAGTTGACACCTTGAAAAGAGCTCTTCTGCGACTAAATTGCCATTTATAAGTGACAAGAATGAGATGCCGTGTTCAGTCACATTAGAAAACCAATCATCCCACACAGAGGAAGCTTTGGATATAGGGACATCAAACTGGTCTTAAGTGTAATGAAAAGTCTCTTCTGCCCCAAATATCAGTGTAGTGATATCTGATATAAGAAAATATAAATCAGCATAACCATGGGATGCAGCAAGAGGAATACTGAGCCAGGAAAGAAAGCATTTTAATTCATTAAAAAAATGAATTCCTCATTCAGTCTCTAGTGAATACAGAAAAAACTGCAGAAAAGTCAGAGGATTTCATGGCAGTGTAATAGGATGATATGTTAAACTTGTGGAAAAGCCTCCAATTCTGTTTTAACATAGGAGAAGGAGGGATGACTGACTTCATGACTAGCATTAAGACAATATCACATGTTGGGAAACTGTTTCTGCCTTGATGATTTTATACACAGAAGAGATGAAAAAATGAGGCACATGCTTAGATATATTGGGAATGAGATGGGACTGTGGCATCGTCACAAGGGTACACACATACTTAGAGTGACTGATAGAGGAATGGTTCCCCATTGGTTGTGAGCTCTCAGGTGAGACCAGGAGGCCTGTGTTTTAGCAAACCCTGGGCAGTTGGAATGAAGATTCCATGACATGCCCAGCTTATAATTCTATTATTGCAACAGCAGACCGTTACCTGGGAAACTGGCCCTGTCTCCCACACTCTTGTCAGAGTCTGAGCTAGAGGCAGCACCTTCAGCTCTGAGCTCAAGCGTTTCCTACATTGTTTCGGCAGTTAAGGACCCTAAAATTCTGTGAGGAGGGATCATTTTTCTGAACAGTAAGTTAGGAATTTGAGTTATTGAAATTCCTCAGTCCTGATTAAACCTATTTGATTTCCATTTTTTAACCCATCCTGTGTTTGGGTTTCTTCTCCCTAGTCCCTGGCTGTGCCTGGGTTCCCCAAATGTCACCATGGCGGCACCTGGAAGGGTGTGTTCCAGGCAAACCACAGAGGTGAACTTTCCTGATATCGTTGAGAATTCCTACACCCAGCAGGAAGAGACCAAACCGAGTTTCAGAGACAGCAAAAATAGACTTCTTCTGAGCCAGGTGGCCTACTTCCAGAACTACCGGCTGAAGACAGACAGTAAGTTGTATAGGTTCACCACCATGAAACTGTTGAGTGACGTCCTGTCTTCTCTCTAGAAACTAACCGTTCTCTTCATCAAAATTAATTTCATGCTTCCCATACTTGTAGAAAATAGCAATGGGTATTTTAACATTGAGTTAAGGATGGAAGACAGAGGCCAAAGTATTTATCAACTGTTCCGTGTCTGCAGTAAAGTGGGTGAGGGACTGGGGTTACAAACCCAGCTCTTGATTTCTGACCCAGGCACAGAACCACCTGTTTTTCTCAGCAAAAGGCTAAATCCTGTTTACGGGAATCCTCTCTGTACCGTATAAGATTCTGCAGACAAGTAGCATCCAGTCTGTTGGTCTAAATGTCTGAGGCTACTGAACTTCCATTAGGTTCCGGAGACTGCTGAGGCCCAGGAGGCAAAGGTGTGTTCTGGGGACACTGGGGGAAACACAGTGATAGCAGACAGTACCCACTGTGAGGAGTTTAAGGGGACGCTGCTGCTAATAGAACCTGTGGTATGTGTAAGTGGCATCATCAAGAGCAGGGAGTACCCTGGTACTGGTGCCTCAACCTCCCAATCAGCTGGGATTTTTGGTGGGCACAGCCCACCTGGCTAACTATTATATTTTTAGTAGAGGTGGGGTTTCATGATGTTGGCCAGGCTAGTCTTGAACTCCTGAGGTTAAGGGATATGCTCCGCTGCGCCTCCTAAATTGCTCGGATTCCTGGCACGAGCCACCATGATGGTTCCACAGATTCTTTTTTCAGGAAACGTTGTTAGAATTCATCAGTTGGTCGAGTCTCCTATATAAATTTCTCTATCCATTAATTGACCATAATATATGATGAGATAAATCAGTATTGCAGCAATGCTTCTGGAAAGTATTTAGGGCAATTTTTGGAAGATTTTGGGTGAAATGTTTTAATTTTTGCACTGGCTTAGGTCGGAGGATAAGTGATTAAGATCTACCAGATGAGGGAAATTTTGTCCCATGGATTTGAAAAGCAGGCTTATCCACTTCTAGGGCAACTTAGTCTAGTGCCCATTAGAACATTACTGTCAGAATAACACATTCTTACACTGAGAGTATTTTAAGTCCGTGTGCTATTATGACTGGACACTGATTTGGTCTTGTGTGAAGTGCAATTTGCTTAATATGACCTGCTTTTCTGAATTTGTTTATAGAAGATCGAAAAGATGACGATGAAGAACAGAAATACAGAGACCGCAAAAATAAACTTTTTTTGAGTCAAGTGGCCTACTACCTGGGCTGCCGGCATAAGATGGAAGGCAAGTTCCATGGGTTCACCATCACGGAAGTGCTGAACAATGTCTTGTCTTATCTCTGAGAAATTACACACTCTCGTCTTCAAAGTTAATTTAATCCTTTCCATACTACTAGGAAAATAGCAATGGGTATTTTAACATTATGGTAAAGATGGAAGTCAGAGGCCAAGGCATTTAGCAACACTGCCACATCTGCAGTAAGGTGGGTGTCGGACTAGGGTTAATAACGCAGCTAACGATTCCTGACACAGGCACAGAACCACCTGTTTTTCTCAGGAAGAGACTAAATCACGTTGTCAGGAATTCTCTCTAACACATAGGATCCTTCAGAACTTATAAGCAAGATAAAGGTAGAAGCGTTTATATCCTGGTTTCAGGGTGACTGAATAGCTAAGACAAGTTGACTCTAAGGAGATCAAGAGTGGAGATAAGAAGAGTAAAAGCAGGGAAACACCATGTGCAATAGGCAAGGCTGTCAGTGAGATCCCTCAGTCCTGATTAAACCAACTTATCGTCACCAGTTTGTAACCCATTATGTGTCTGGGTTTCTTCTCCCCAGTCCCTGGCTTTCTGTGTTGTGCCCAAAAAGTCAACATGGTGGCATCTGGCAGGCCTCCTTTTAGAATAAACCGAGAGGTGAACGTTCCAGAAGGCATTGAGAAATCCAGCTCACAACAGGAAGAAAACAAACCGAATGTCAGAGCCAGCAAAAACAGACTTCTTCTGAGCCAGGTGGCCTACTTCCAGAACTACCGGATGAAGACAGACAGTAGGTTCTGTAGGTTGACCACCACGAAAGTGATCAACGATGTCCTGTGTTGTTTTGAGAAACTAACAGTTCTCTTCATCAAAATTAATTTCATTCTTCCCATACCTGTAGAAATTAGCAATGGGTATTTTAACATTTTGTTAAATATGGAAGTCAGAAGCCAAAGTAGTTAGCAACTTTTCCACATCTGCAGTAAGGTGGGTGTACAACTGGGGTCACAATCCCAGCTATCAATTTCTGAGGCAGGCACAGAACAACCTGTTTTTCTCAGCAAGAGACAAAATCCATGTTTACAGGAATCCTCTCTGTACAGTATAAGATCCTGCCGACAAGTAGCCTCTAGTCTGTTGGTCAAAATGTCTAAGGCTACTGCACTTCCATTTGCTTCTGGTTTTCTGAGGCCCAGTAGGCAAAGCTCTGTTCTGGGGACACTGGGGGAAACATGGTGATAGCACGCAATACCTCCTGTGGAGAGCTAGAAGGGGAATTCGCTCCAGTAACATCTGTGGTATGTGTATGTGGCACCATCAAGAGCAGGGAGTACCCTGGTACTGGTGCCTCAGCCTTCCAATTAGCTGGGATCCCTGGTGGGCACCACCGCAAATGGCTAATTTTTGTATTGTTAGTAGAGGCGGGGTTTCACCATGTTGGCCAGGCTGGTCTTCAACTCCTGAAGTCATGTGATCTGCCTCCCTGGGCCTGCTAAAGTGCTGGAATTCCAGGTGTGAGACACTGGGCTGCCTCCATGGATTCTTAAGTAAAGGTTGTTAGGATTCATCCATCAGTCCAGTCTCCTATATAAATTTCTCTAACCATTCATTGACCATGATATCTGATGAGATAACTCAGTATTGCAGCAATGCTTCTGGAAAGCAGTTAGGGCAATTTTTGAAGATTTGGGGAAGAAAGGTTTAATTATTTGCACTGATTTAGGTAAGAGGATACATGATTAAGATCTACCAGATGAGGGAGATTTTTGTCCCATGGATCTGAAAAGCAGGCTCATATACTACTGAGGCAACCTAACCACGGGCCTGTTAGAACGTTCCTGTCAGAATATCAGATCCTTACACTGAGAATATTTTACGTCCTTGTGCTATGACAGGACTCTGATTTGGTCTTGTGTGAAGTGCGATTTCCTTAATGTGACCTGCTCTTCTTAATTTGTTTACAGATGATCGAAAAGATCACGATGAAGAACAAAAATACAGAGACAGCAAAAACAAACTTGTTATGAGTCAAGTGGCCTACTACCTGGCCTGCCGGCTGAGGATGAAAGGTGAGTTCTGTAGGTTCACCATTATGGAAGTCCTGGACAGTGTTCTGTCTTGTCTCTGACAACTGCTCTACTGTCTTCTTCAAAGTTTAATTTTATCACTCGCAGACTTCTAGGAAGGTAGCAATTGGTATTTTAACATTTTCTTAAAGACGTAACACACAGGCAAAATTATTTAGCAACTTTCCACATCTGCAATAAGACAGGTGTGAGATTGGGTGAACATCCCAGATACTGATTTCCAACACAGGAACTAAAACACCTGCTTTTCTGTGCAGGAGGCTAAATCATGTTTACAGGAATCTTATCCATACCATATAAGACCCTTTAGAACTGAAAAACAGGATCAAGGTAGAAATGTTTATGTCCTGGCTTCAAGGTAAATGAGTAGCTAAGACAAGTTGACTCTAAGGTGATCGAAACCGCAGATGAGAAGACTAATTTGGGGAAATAACATCTTCAAATTAATAGGCAAGGCTGTCAGTGACATTCCTCAGTCCTGATTAAACCAATTTGATGTCACCAGTTTCTAACCCACCATGTGTTGGGTTTCTTCCTTCCAGTCCCTGGCTTTCTGTATTACCCAAACATCAGCAAGGTGGATTCCGGTAAGCTTCCTTCCAGAAAAGACCCAGAGGTGAACGTTCCAGAAGCCATTGTGAAATCCTGCTCCCAGCGGGAAGATAACAAACCGGATGTCGGAGTCCGCCGAAATAGATGTCTTCTGAGTGAGGTGGACTACTCCCTGAACTACCGGCTGAGGGCATACGGTGAGTTCCATAGGTTCACCTCCACAAAAGTGATGAACCATGTCCTGCCTCGTCTCGAGAAACTGACCGCTCTCTTCCTCAGAGTTAATCTCGTCTTTCCCATACTCCTAGAAAATAGAAATGGGTGTTTTACCATTTGGTTAAAGATGGAAGACAGAGGCCATAGTGTTTAGCAACTTTTCCACGTCTGCAGTAAGGTGGGTGTGGGACTGGGGTCGCAATCCCAGCTATGGGATTCCTGACGCAGGCGCGGAACCACCTGTTTTTCTCAGCAAGAGGCTGAATCCATGTTGACAGGCATCCTCTCTGTACAGTACAAGATCCTGCAGAGAAGTAGCATCTAGTCTGTTGGTCCAAATGTCTGAGGCTGCTGAACTTGCATTTGGTTCCAGTTTCGGCTGAGGCCCAGCAGGCAAAGCTGTGTGTGTTGGGGACCCTGGGGGAAACACAGCGATAGCCAGACAGTACCTCCTGTGAGGAACTGAAAGGGGATCCTGCTCCTGATAGAACCTGTGGTATGTGTAAGTGGCCCCATCAAGAGCAGGAAGTACCCTGGTACCGGTGCCTCAGCCTCCCAATTAGCTGGGATCCCCGGTGGGCACCACCGCGCCTGGCTGCTGTTTGTGTCCGATGTAGAGGCGGGGTTTCTCCGTGTTGTCCAGGCTGATCTCGAACTCCTGAGGTCAAGGGATCTGCCCTCCCAGACCTCCTAAAGTGCTGGGATTCCAGGCATGAGCCACCATGCCGGCCCCACAGATTCTTTTTGAAGTAGAGGTTGTTAAAATACATCCGTCGGTCCAGTCTGCTGTATACGTTTCTCTAACCCTTCGTTGGCCGTGATACAGGATGAGCTAGATCAGTATTGCAGCAACCCTTCAGGAAAGCAGTCAGGGGAAGTTTTGAAGATTTTGGGGTAAAAGTTTTAATCGTTTGCACTGGCTTAAGTCAGAGGATATGGGATCGAGATCTACAAGATGAGACAGATTTTGTCCCATGGATCTGAAAAGCAGGCTCATCTGCTTCTGAGGCAACTGAATCTAGGGCCCCGTGAGAACATTCCCATCATAGTATCGCATTCTTCCATTGAGACTATTTTACGTTCTTTTGCTATGACAGGACACTGATTTGTTCTAGTTTAAAGTGAGAATTGCTGAATGTGACCTGCTCTTCTGAATTTTTTTTACAGGTGATCAAGGTTATTATGAAAAACGGAAATACAGAGATAGCAAAAATAAGCATTTTACAAGTCAAGCGGCCTTCTGCCTGGGCTCTTGGCTGAAGACGGAAGGTAAGTTCTATAGTTTCACCATAACGGAAGTGCTATACAATGTCCTGTTTTGTCTCTTACACATGATGCACTCGTTTCTTCAAAATTAATTTTATCCTTCCCATGCTTCTAGGAAAATAGCAATGATTATTTTAACATTTTGGTAAATCTGGAAGTCAGGGCCAAGGTATATAACAACTCTTCCATGTCCGCAGTAAGGTGGGTTTGGGACTAGGGTCAATATCACAGCTAATGATTCCTGACACAGGCACAGAACCACCTGTGTTTCTCAGGAAGAAACTAAATCATGTGTACAGGAATCCTTTCTAATAATTAGGATCCTGAAGAACTTATCAGCAAGATAAAGGTACAAATGTGTATGTCCTGGTTTCAGGGTGACAGAGTAGCTAAGACACATTAACCTTAAGGAGATCAAGGGTGGAGATGAGAAGAGTCAAGGCAGGGAAACAACATGTCCAATAGGCAGGGCTGTCAGTGACATCACTCAGTCCTGATTAAACCAATTTGACTTCACCGGTTTCTAACCCATCATGTGTTTGGGTTTCTTCTCCTTAGTCCCTGGCTTTCTGTATTCTGCCCCAAACGTCCACATGGTGGCGTCTGGCAGGCCTTCTTCCAGAATACACCCAGAGGTGAACTTTCCAGAAGGCATTGAGAAATTCTGCTCACAACAGGAAGAAAACAAACCAAATGTCGGAGCCAGCAAAAACAGACTTCTTCTGAGCCAGGTGGCCTACTTCCAGAACTACCGGCTGAAGACAGACAGTAAGTTTTATAGGTTGACCACCACGAAAGTGATCAATGATGTCCTGTGTTGTTTTGAGAAACTCACAGTTCTCTTCATCAAAATTTATTTCATCCTTCCCATACTTGTAAAAAATATAAATGGGTATTTTAACATTGTTGTTAAAGATGGAAGATGGAAACCGAAGTACTTAGCTACTTTTCCACGGCTGCAGTAAGATGGGTGTGGGACTGGGGTCACAATCCAGGCTATCAATGTCTGACACAGGTACAGAACCGCCTGTTATTATTCTCAGCAAGAGACCGAATTCATGTTTACAGGAATCCTCTCTGTACAGTATAAGATCCTGCAGACAAGTAGCATCTAGCTTGTTGATGAAAATGTCTGAGGCTACTGAACTTTTATTTGGTTCTGGTTTTTTGAGGCTTAGTAGGCAAAGCTGTGTCTTTCGGACCCTGCAGGAAACGTGGTGATAGCACACAGTTCTTCCTGTGAAGAGGTCGAAGGGGCTCTGCTTCTAATAGAACCTGTGGTATGTGTAGGTGGCACCAGCAAGAGCAGGAAGTACCCTTATAATGGTTCCTCAGCCTTTCAGTTAGCTGGGATCCCTGGTGGGCACCACCGAAAATGGCTAAGTTTTGTATTGTTAGTAGAGGTGGGGTTTCACCATGTTAGCCAGGCTGGTCTTGAACTCCTGAGGTCAAGTGATCTGCGTTCCTGGGCCTCCTAAAATGCTGGGATTTCAGGTGTGAGACACCGGGCTGGCTCCATGGATTCTTTTTTAAGGAAAGGTGTTAGAATTTGTCCATCGGTCCAGTCTTTTATATAAATTTCTCTAACCATTCATTGACCACAAAATATGAGGAGCTGGATCAGTATTGCAGCAATGCTTCTGGAAAGCAGTAAGGGCAAATTTGGAAGATTTGGGAGAAAAGTTTTAATCATTTGCACTGACTTAGGTCAGAGGATACATGATTAAGATGTACCAGATGAGGGAGATTTTGTCTTATGCATCTGAAAAGCAGGCTCATATACTACTGAGGCAACCTAATCTAGGGCCTGTTAGAGCATTCCTGTCAGAATATCACATTCTTACACTGAGAATATTTTACGTCCTTGTGCTATGACAGGACGCAGATTTGGTCTTGTGTGAAGTGCGATTTGCTTAATGTGACCTTCTCTTCTGAATTTATTTACAGAAGATCGAAAAGGTCATGACGAAGAACAGAAATACAGAGACAGGAAAAATAAACTTTTTATGAGTCAAGTTGCCTACTACCTGGGCTGCCAGCATAAGACGGAAGGTAAGTTCTATAGGTTCAGCATCACAGAAGTGGTCAACAATGTTTTTTCTTTTCTGTGAGGAATTATACACTCTCTTCTTTAAAGTTAATTTCATCCTCATACTTTTAGGAAAATAGCAATGGGTATTTTAACATTTTGTTAAAGACGTAACACAGAGGCGAAACTATTTAGCAACTTTTGCACATCTGTAGTAAGACATGTGTGAGACTAGGGTTAACATCCAGCTATTGATTCCTAACACAGGCACCAAACCACCTGCTTTTCTCTGCAAGAGGCTAAATCATGTTTATAGGAATCTTCTGCGTACCATATAAGATCCTTCAGAACTTATAAGAAGAAAGAGGTAGAAATGTTTATGTACTGGCTTCAATTTGAATGAGTAGCTAAGACAACTTAACTTTAAGGAGATCAAGAGTGGAGATGAGAAGAGTAATTCGGGGAAGTAACATCTTTAAATCAGTAGGCAAGGCTGTCAGTGTCATCCCTCAGTCCTGATTGAACTAATTTGATGTCACCAGATTCTAACCCACCATGTGTTTGTGTTTCTTCTCCCCAGTCCCTGGCTCTCTGTTATCTTGTTCAAACATCAGCAAGGGGGCATCTGGCCGGCCTCCTTACAGAAAATACACAGAGGTGAACGTTCCAGAAGGCATTGAGAAATCCTACTCCCAGCAGGAAGATAAACCGAATGTCAGAGTCAGCAAAAATAGATGTCTTCTGAGTGAGGCGAACTACTCCCTGAACTGCCGGCTGAAGACCTACAGTAAGTTCTATTGTATGGATGAGTAAGTACTGACCCATTGGTTCAGTCTCCTATATAAATTTCTCTAACCATTCCTTGACCATGATATAATGAGATAGATGAGTATTGCAGCAACCCTTCTGGAAAGTAGGGCAAGTTTTGAAGATTTTGGGAAAAAAGTTTTAATTGTTTGCACTGACTTAAGTCTTAGGATATGGGATTGATTTCTACAAGATGAGACAGATTTTGTCCCGTGGATCTGAAAAGCAGGCTCATCTGCTTCTGAGGCAACTTAATCTCGGGCCCGTTAGAACATTCCCATCATATCTCAATCTTCCATTAAGAATATTTTATGTTCTTCTGCCATGACAGGGCACTGATTTGGTCTTGTGTGAAGTGAGATTTGCTGAATGTGACCTGCTCTTCTGAATTTGTTTACAGATGATCAAAAAGATCATGATGAAGAACAGAAATGCAGAGACAGCAAAAATAAACATCTTATGAGTCAAGCGGCCTACTACCTGGACTGCCGGCTGAAGAGGGAAGGTAAGTTCTATTTGTTCACTATCACGGAAGTGCTGAACGATATCCTGTCTTTTCTCTGCAAAACTGAACACTCTCTTTGTCAGAATTTATTTCTTTGTTTTCATACTTCTAAGAAAATGTAAATTTGTATCTTAACATATTGTTACAAGCGGATGAGCGAGGCCAAAGTATGAAGCCACTTTTCCACATCTGCAGTAAGGTGGGTGTCAGACTCCGTAACATCTCAGCTATGATTCCTGACACAAGCACAGAGCCACGTGTTTTTCTCAGCAATAGGCTTAATCATGTTGACAGGAATCCTCTCTGTACCACATGAGATCCTGCAGACAAGTAGCATCCAGTCTGTTGCTCTAAATGTCTGAGGCTCAGTGAACTGCCATTCAGTGCAGGTTTCTGCTGAGGTCCAGTAGGCAAAGCTCTGCTCTCGGGTCCTGGGGGCAATGCGGTAATAATACACAGAACCCGCTGTGGGGAGCTTAAAGAGGACTCTGCTCCTTCCATAATCTGATGAAAGGTGGTCTTTGGAACAAGAGGCAGCATCTTTCCAGGTGTAAAGGACAGGAAGGAAGCTGTGACAGGACAGGGGTTGTTGGAGTGGAAAGATCTCTGGATTGAGAAAAAGGTTCCCAGGCTGTATCTTCAGCAGTGTCTTTAGTAACTGTCACTGAGCACTTGATTTCTCTCCTTCCTTACTGTCTCTCCATCTGCAAAGTCAGGCAAATTTCTCTCTCTCCATCTGCAAAGGCAGACATCTTGCAGTGTCTGAGGGATTCAAATGTGCGAACTCTTATGACCGCTTATCCAAATGAGGTAAAGCCCCTCGCTTTGTGATGTTGGGACCGCAGGTGCCCATCACCACACCAAGCGAACTTTTTATTTTTAGTAGAGATGAGGTTTCATTATATTGGCCAGGCTAGTCTTGAACTCTGGACCTTAAATTTTTCACCTACTTTGTCCTTTCAAATCATAGGTTTTGTTTTGTTTTGTTTTGGAGGTGGAGTCTCTCTCTTCATCAGGCTGGGGTTCAGTTGCATGATCTCAGGTCACTACAAACTCTGCCTCCTGGGTTCAGACAATTCTGCTCCCTCAGCCTCTTGAGTAGCTGAGAGTGTAGGCACGTGCCACCACGCCCAGCTAATTTCTTTGTATTTTTAGTATAGACAGGCTTTCACCGTATTAGCCAGGATGGTCCCGATCTCCTGAGCTCGTGAAGTGCTCACCTCGGCCTTTCAGAGTGCTGGGATTACAGGTGTGAGCCACCGTGCCCAGCCCAGAGATTGTTTTTTGTTTGTTTTTGATTTTGTTTTGTCTTTTCTTATTCCTTCTCCCTAGAGACTGTCAAAAATTGTCAATGCCGACTCTATTACATGTCATCTCAGCTGGGTATTGGGACCGTTTTCAATTAGCGATAATCTCATCTCAGATAAACCCCATTGGCTACGATACTGCCACTGCGCAAAGCTTACAGATTCTATTTGCAGCAAGTGTTAGAATTTACATATCCATCTCGTTTCATGTATAGATGCTTCTGACCATTCAATGACCTTGCTCCCTGGTGAGATAAGTCAGGATTGCAGCAACACTCCCAGGAAAGAGTTTGACTTATTTTTGGAGATTTTCTGGGAAAAAGTTTGGTTTAAGTTAGCATAGACTCAGGGAGAGAATATGGCATTATGGCCTACCCGTACAGGGAGCTTTTGGCCTGTGCATTGCAAAGCAGGCTCATCTCCTCACTAGGCTTCATCTAGGGCTCCCTAGAATCTTCCTGTCAGAATTTGTATTCTTGCTGTGAGAACATTTTTGTGCCTGTGCTATGACTAAACACTGATTTGGTCATATGTGAAGTGTGATTTGCTTAATGTGACCTGCTTCTCTGAATTTATTTACAGGAAGTCAAGGTGATGTTGAGGAAGAGGAGGAGAAAGGGCCAGTGCCCCCCAGGTAATGCTTTGGAGCTGTGGGCTGTTAGTTCCATAGTGACACCTGGAGACTGCAGATCCAGAAAAGGAGAAAATGATGACTAGAACTCTGCCTTCCATTCACCCAGCTACAGATTGTCCTCACTGACAGTGCTGTGGGTGATGTGTGGCACTTGTATACGTTTTAATTTCTTAGTCCTCCCAAGATAGGGACCTGCAATCTGCTGAGCCAGGTGAACTCAGCAAACAGGGATTTTTTGGTTTCCCCTGTTCTCTCCCATGGGTTTAATTCCAGGGAGAGACGCGGATATGCTTTCTACCCATTTGTTGTTAGCATGTTTGCTAGGATTTGTGAAGAGAAGAAATTTAAAAAATATACATATGCTATCAAAATACTGGAAAAGGGAGGCCCTTAGTACAGAAGATCTGGGTGTCTGAAATGCCTCAGGAGCTCTGTTCACTTGAATGCTGCATGTAAAATTCAACACAAATTATGCCAGGTAGTTGAATCCCTGTGTTAGTGCTCATGTTGCAGTTCATGATGGTAGTTTCCAGGGAGTCTGGGTGGCCTGCAGTGGCTCATCTGTGGCAAATGCACTGAGCACCTGCTGCTCATTTGTGCTGTGTCCCCAGGGTAGTCACCCTTCACCCTGCATTTAGAAGGATAGTTTTTTCTTCTCTTGAAGGAAAAATGCCTTTGCTTTCTGTGACCACTCCATTGTGACTTCCATCAGATCAGCTGGGGGACTTCGTTGTCTAATCTCTGTTGGTTTTAATCTGTCGTCCTGTCCTGCCTGGCTCATCAGGAATCTGCAGGAGTCTGTGGAGGAGGAAGCCCCCCAGGAGTCCTGGGATGAAGGTGATTCGACTCTCTCAGTTCCTCCTGGCCCATCTGCCTTCAATGAGACTTTGAGGAGCAACTTGCACTCATTAGAGGAGCAGCAAGTCATCTCGGCTGTTGACATAGACAGTGAGTACTCCATTGTGAAGGCGCTAAAGCTCCAGTTTGTGTCCCAGATAGACCCCATAGTCTTTGGGCATTGCTCCCCTGGCCGGGCTGAGAGTTGTCATCACTGTGGGCTGAGCCTGTATGTGAGTGTAGATTTCAATCACTCTGGATTCCAGTCTGAAGCACTGGCATGGGGTGGGACAGTGAGCTTTGCCCTGTCTCTAGTCTCAGGCCATGCCCGTCGCACCCTGGACCGACTGTCAGGACATTAAAACTTAAGGCAGGTGTTGCACACTCAACGCCAAGCTCTGCAGCACATGCCCACAAGTTGTCTGTCAATCTGAATTAAATGTCTCTTGCCAGCTACCAAGTTCCTCATGAGTTTTGTTCCCCAACCATGTCTGTGAGGTTCTTCCCTGTGTGTACAAACTTGGTGTAACTGTCTGTAGAAACTTGGGATAAAAGGATAATGGTCTACCAGAATAGGGACATTTCATCATTGGTCTGAGACAGGAACCAAGAAATCTCTCATGATTGACCTTCAAACCTCCTGAAGTCTGTCTCTCACATTATCCTGCTCTCATGTTGAGGAGCCTGAGGTCCCTGTGCAGGGATTAGACAGTGGACAGTTATGAGTGTAGGAGAATTGGCTTATTTTGTCTGTCCCTGTCTGAATTTATTGCAGAGATTAAAAATGACCAAGAAGAAGAAGAAGACCAAGGCCCACCATGCCCCAGGTAACTTTGAGCAATTGTGAACAGCTAATTTTGTGTTGATACCTGGAGACACCAGGTCCAGGGAAAAGAGTGGGCTGACAATATCGATACCATGTTTTCAATGAAGCCTGAATGATTTCTACTAACATTGCTGTTGGTTTTCATTGCGGTAGATACTTAGGTTTCCATTTCTCCCTCCCCTTATCATTTACTAACTACCGTAGGTTGACGATACTTGTTTTTATGATCAGTGTACACTGTGTGTCCTGAGGGTACTCACTCAGAGTGTCCTTTTACTCCCTCATCAGTGTGTCACCTGGACGGATCACTGAGCTTACTTTCCCTCTCTCTGATTCTTTTTTACCCTACTCCTGCCCATCCCGACATAAAGCAATAATTTGTTATGTCATTAATGGATCTATGTTTTTCTTTATTAACCACTTTCTTGTGCTCCCCATGAAATCTAGCTGGGGCTCTGCGGTGTCTTATTTTCCCTGACTTATTCTTTGGTTTTTCCTCCTTTTCTAGGCTCAGCATGGAGCTGGTGGAAGCAGAAGAACCTGAAGTCTTCCGGTCCTCACTGGATGTATTGTATTCAACTTATGCAGCTTATCCTGAATTTTATTTCACATGCCAGGCTTACACATATGTGATTTTTTTATTTGTGGAAGAGCATGTTCGCTTGACTTTGGACATGGACAGTAGGTTTCTTACTACGACGGTGACAAGACTCCTTCCCCTGGTCTCCCGGGTAGGGGTCATATTTCCACACTAAGACAGCGTGTCACGTGGGACTCTGCCACTGCAGAGTATGAACACCACCATGTTCTTGCTGAAACACTTAGCCTGAGTTTCATAGCCTGAGGTAATCTCCAGACAACTTCAGAATGTAGAGCAGTGAGCAGCACAAGTGACCTTTCTCCTTCAGAAAGCCCATGTCACCACAAATCACACAACCAAAAGGAGAAGAGACATTTTGGGTTGAAAAAGAGTAAAGAGATAATGTAGCTACATTTCTTTAGTTCTTTTGAACCCAAAGTGTCTCCTCACCTTTTGTTGTTGTCATTGATGGTGGTGACATGGGCTTGTTTGTAGAGGACAGGTCAGCTGTCTGACTCAAAGCTCCACCCTCTGAAGTTGTCTGAAAATGTCCTCATGATTAAATTCAGCCTAAGTGTTTTTCCGGGACTCTGCAGGGTCAATGCTACCTCACCCATCTGCAGGCAGAGAAGGTCCTGTGTGTCTCCCACCGTGATTGTGATACCAGGACTGTTCCACCATTTGTCTACCATCATGATCCTGATACCAGGACTCTTCCACCATTTGTGTTCCACCATGTTCGTGGTACCAGGACTGTTCCACCATTTGTCTACAACCATGATTGTGATACCAGGAAACCACCGTTTGTCTATTACCATGATCGTGGTACCAGGACTGTTCTACCATTTGTCTACCACCATGATTGTGATACCAGGACTGTTGCACCATTTGTCTACCGCCATGATTGGGGTACCAAGACTGTGTTACCTTTTATCTACCATTGTGATTGTCATACCAGGACTCTTCCACCATTTGTCTATCACCATGATCGTGATACCAAAACTCTTCCACCATTTGTCTAAGATTATGATCGTGATACCAGGACTGTTCCTTCATTTGTCTACCATCATGATCGTGATACCAGGACCGTTTCACTATTTGTCTATCACCATTATCGTGATGCCAGATCTGTACCTTTCAGAGACAGCTTATTTATACCGAAGTAATTGGAAAAATGGTTTTTAAAAGTATTAATATGCTGTGTTCAAATGACCCTCAACATTTTCTTCATTAATCATCCCTGGCGTTGTCAATTGTTATATTTATATCTCTCTAGTGGAAATTTTCAATTTTTCCTGTATCTTTGCTTTTCCTAGTTGTCTGTTGTTGGAAAAAAAAAGTTCCTGCCTGCATTTTAATTTTTGCCAAAGTTAATTTTAATCTATACTATTAAAATGTTTTCTCTTAAGACTGTCAGCACATAAGGCCACAGCAAAACAGAATTCACTGATTTTGAAGCCTTTTTTGATTTGTTGCTGACAAGAGACGTTGTTTTCTTAGCTGCTAATAACTATTTGAGCAGTCAGGAAAGGTCTATCAGACTAAGGACATGAAAAGCCCAGGCCATTCTCTTTGAGTCTTTTAAACTATTTCAAAAGAGAAGAGAATAGGTAGATTCCACATATGTGGACAGGAAGGAGAATACACTAAAAGCAACAGACAACTATTTCCCAAAACAGAAAATTAGATTTAAATAAACATACAGCATTAAAATTCATTAAACATTTTCTCATGAAATGTAATCTCTAAACTTACCTGTTATATGAAAGTCAGTTCTTAACATGCCACACTGCATTGACTGTTGACATTCATAAGAACATATTTCCAAGTTTATTATTTGAAAATGCAAATGGACTGTAATTCTTTTTTGCAGTAATCTTTTTAAGATTGAAGATTTTATTCAAAATAAAACCAGAGATTTTAAAGATTGAAAATGACATTAAAATTTATCTTCTCAAAATAATGATGTTTAACTCTGTGTATCTTACTTCTGTTTATAGTGTAACTGTCAAGTGATCATTTAACCATTCTTTAAATATTTCAAATTACTGGGGACATGTACATACAGATAATGAAGCAATGCCTACTCGGTGAGGGGCTGCCTTGTGAGCAACCCCAAGGGCCCTGGCTCATGAAACCCTTGGCTAGAAAGGTGGAGGGATCAGCCAGGTGGGCACACAGCAGGTTTCTTGTTTTCTTCTGGCAAACACACACACAAATAGCACCTGCTCACTGGAGTCTCTGGCAACCCTGACCAGGCTTCATGATGGGTGAGGTGGGCTAGAAATGGGAAAGTGGATGACCCCAGATCTAGAGACTGCCGCTGTCACCTGGGCACCTGGAATGTGCGTGGAGGAGTCTCCCACAGATTTGGGTTTGGATCAATGCCCAAACATGCACAAGGACAGGACTCTTGGCCTGGATGTTTGCAGAGCTCCCAGTCTTCTAAAGAGGCTGGTGGTGGGGAAGAAGTTTCAACAAAACAGCAGAGTTATGGGTACTCGAGCTTGGCAACAGAGAATACCTCCCTGTACTACTAAATGACAGTATCTGACAATGATGAATGACACTTGAGCAGCAGCTTTCACTGTTTCACAAGCAGTGTCTCTGGACCACTAGGTTGGTGCTGTCAGATGTTGACTGAAACAGTGGTTCGAGCCCATCCAGTCACATTAATGTTTCTAGCTGACATGACCTTCCATCTGAAGAGTCTCTTCCTTGGACCAAATATATCTTAAAACTTCTCTTCAGGCCGGGTGCTGTGGCTCACGCCTGTACTCCTAGCACTTTGGGAGGCCGAGGTGGGTGGATCACCTGAGGTCAGGAGTTTGAGACCATCCTGGTCATCATGGTTAAACCCCATCTTATATAAGCACACACACACACACACACACACACACACACACACACACACAAACTTGTCTCTTGTCTATTTTCCAACGTGTCTCTTTGTTGCTTGGGGCAAAAAAACTCCATTTTTAATCTTCCCCCAACAAGCATCTTCCCTTATCGTGTTTCGGGTTTTGAGTTTGTTTCCTCAGCTGCTCATATATGGAACACTGGAAATTTCTAAAATGGAGAATGACAGAACCTGAGTCACACCTCTGGTGAAGCCACAGACTCTGGGGGAGAAATCTAATCTGCCAGGGTTTAAAGTTAAACACATGAATTTTTTGTGCCTCCATTTCTATGTCAAATGCACTAAACCAGAATACTCAGGTTGCCCAATGTTTAAATGAGCTGTGCAGGAAAAGCGTGGAGCCCAATGCCTGTCACATAGCAATTGTTCAATACACATGAGCTCCTCTCAGCGCCATTGCCGCCAGCATTTCCATCAGGCTTTGATCTTTAAAACATCCTTCTTGATACAAGTGGATCATTCTTCAAATTTTCTCTAACTGATGGCCGTGGAATTGCTCCAATGTGTATTATTACAAACACAGCTGCAGGGATCAGACTGACACATACATCTGTCGTGCATCCCCTGTCTACTTCTGCGCAGATACCTGGAAATGGAATGGCCAGATCAAGGTATTTATACATTTCAGATTTTGCTAATTGCCCAAATTACTGTGGAAAGACGATATAACAAGTCACATTGTTAACATTTTGTGAGAATACTTTCTATCTCCTTCTTCTGGCCCAAACTGGGTAGTATTGCCTACCATTTCCTCTGAGCTTCCTTTGCCAACATTTCTGTAGTCATTCGGTGGGGACACGTGTTATGCATGACATCAAACTCAAATCCTTAAAGGAAAAGGGGGATTAACATGACTACAAATTTATATTCAAAATACGATGAATAGAAATATATATGTGGATGTAAATATAGACACAAAATATATGGCAAAATGTTTTTTATTTAGGATACTTCATCAAAGTTATGTATACTTCAAAATTTGTTTAGTAAAACAGCAGGCCCCATGTGTACATAATTATTCAGCTCCTTATCTCTAAATAGCTATTATTAGTCTTTGCTTTCTGAGGTTAGGCCCTATCTCTCCTTCAAATACTCGCTCATCACCACCACCCCCAAACACACCTCTCAACACCTCACCCTCTAACATGTTCGTGTCCTGGTTTGCTGAGTCAATTACTACATTATTATAACTTGTACATTTTATTCAGAGCTCAGTCACATTGGATATACACAGCAGGAATGAAGGACCAGTATCTTCCGGGTCTCTCTCTCAAGTGGACGAGCTTCAGAGATTCATGTAGTCTTTGGCCACCCTGCCTGTCGTCTATTCCAGGTAAGTACTGGATAGGATGGCCCAGCTCAGATCAGGCACTCTCTCCGTGAGCAGGGGAGGGCGGGACATCTTCATGTGCAGTAGCAGAAAGACACTGTCCACAGAGGGACAGGCAGTTCTACAAAAGAAAGGTCAGTCTGGGGCATGGGCAGGCAAACCGAGGATGTGAAGAAAACAGTATCTGCTCTGTGAGGGGAACATGCAGTAGAGGATGGATTCAGAGTGGGAGGAAGAGAGTTTTTGGAAATATGGGCCGTGGATATTCCTGTGTGAGCTGGAGCCACACGAGACTGTTAGGTACTTACAGGGAGCTTTGGAGAATCTGCACTCCCTAACCTGGGAGACAGGTGAGGGGACTGTCCTGGTCACCAGACAGAGATAGGGTCTGGTCCAAGCAGTTCTGATGGGAAAGAAATGACAGGACATCTTCTCCTTAAGGTAAGGTCCTGAGTTCAGGTCTTGGTAGGAAGGGAGGCTGCCTTGGGCATTGGCAGCTGCAGATAGTTGGCCAGATGAGGGCACTGAAATCTAGGTGCTATCACCTTGTGGTTCTAGTAAAAGAATCGCTGGTCGCGGTGGCTCACACCTGTAATCCCAGCACTTTGGGAGGCCGAGGCGGGTGGATCATGAGGTCAAGAGATCAACACCCTCCTGGTCAACATGGTGAAACCCTGTCTCTACTAAAAATACAAAAAATTAGCTGAGCATTGTGGCATGTGCCTGTAGTCCCAGCTACTTGGGTGGCTGAGGCAGGAGAATTGCCTGAACCCAGAAGGCAGAGGTTGCGGTGAGCCGAGATCACGCCATTGCACTCTAGCCTGGGTAACAGGAGTTAAACTCCATCTCAAAAAAAAAAAAAAGAATCGCTGTATGAAGGGTTCTTAGGAAGAGGAGGTGGATGGCCTGACTTGGGGTGGGGCTCCACGCAGAGTGTCTGCGGTGCTGTACAGAAGCCTGCTGCTCAACCTCCCTGGTTCTCTTGCTCAGTCTCCTGGCCAGACCCCCAGAGTCCCTGCCCTGTGTGCCCTGGAAGCTCAGTCAGATGAGCCAAAGCATCTTCAGCTGGGACTCATCCCTGGGCATTTTTGTGGCTTTGGGCGCCCTGGGCTTCTCCAGGCCTTGTCCTGCAAGCAACTGTCTTGCAGGGGGAGTCAGGAGAAGGAGGCTACTTGTCACTTAACTGTGGGGGACCACAAGGTCCTGACTTGGGTCCTAGTCACTTGCTAACCTATGCATCCCCATCCTATCCCCCAAATGATGAAAAGAAACTTTGCCAGGAGTCACACCAGACAAATAGGATGGGGCCTTTCTATAGAGTCTAGTTCTTAGGCCACCAATAAGAGATGGAAACCACCTGCAGGAAGGTGCCACGGTGGGAACCTGGGTGGCAGGTAGCAGTCACTCAACTGTCAGGATGAATCCTGGTCCTCACACACCCTTTCTCCTTCCCCCCTCCTTGTCTTTTTTCTCCTGTCTGCTCTTTCCCCTCCTTTCCCAAACTCAAAACACTTGGTAAGCTTGGGACAGTTTCAGAACTGGAGAGATTTGGCCACGACATTTGTCAGGCTAGGAAGGTCCCCCAGAACTATTGCCTAATTTTTTGTGTTGATTAGAAGAGAACAAAAAAGTTTCCATCTGATCTGGTCCTAAGTCTCCTTGAGTCTGGGCAGGAAGCAGAGCAGAGTCTTGGCAGGAAGGAGGAGGATGCCCAGGGTCCTGGACTTGCCCCTCCCAGCTGCTCAGCTCCTCACCTGTTAAATTGGAGAGAGCTGGCCTGGAATGGGGAACTCATGGTCTCCACAGAGGCTGGGATCCCAGGCTCAAATCTAAATACTGGCTGATTCAGGAGGCTAAGGAAGGCAATTCCCTGGAGAGAGGTGTCAGAATTTGGGACAAAAGCAGCATCTAGTCGCTGTCCACAGAGACCTCAAGGACAGGAATCCACTGGTTCCCAATTGGAGGGGATCCCATGAAAATGAAATGAAACCCGCACATTAGTACTAGACTGAAGACAGGAGATTAAAAACTGCAGCATCCGAAGGGATGAAGGAATTAGGAAATCTGGAAGTGAAGTTTCTTATATAGGTTGTTTCTTCCAAAGAGACACAGGGCAACAGTTCAATGACATGAGTAAAAGAAATCTCAGGGCTTGGGATTGAGGGGTGGCAGCCTCTTTGGCAGAGGAGACCTCTCACCTGAAGGCCCAGGGTTGCCCTGAGAGGGGAAGGGTCTTCAGTAGCACGTGGCTGGCAGCCTGGAGAATCTGTGAAATTGCAGCAATTTTTATGTGGCCCAGGCCACTGTAAGAACCCAGTTTGTGTGACCCTCAACACCAAGGAGAGTATTGGAGACCTGTGGCGCTGAGCCTCTGAATTTCAGTGGAATCCACATTCCATTTAGGGAGCAATAGAGAGCAACATCATTGTAATTATACAGAAAGGTCCCCTGAGACGTGAAGTCTGATTGCTGTGTTCAGAGTCCAAAGAGCTCACCATTACACCATGGAGGCTCACATTAGTGCGGAACCTCACACTAGCTCATTACTGGAGGTCACATTTAGCAGCCATAGTTCCCATGCACCTATGTTAAGGCGTTTCTTCTGATCCCTCAAGCAACACTCAAGGAAGGTGGACCTGCGAGGGAGGAGTCGTCCCTCTTCTTTGTCTCTGCCCTCTCCTTGGATCAACTTTTATCATTTCATTTGCACATC